TATGTACTGAGCATGACGTCACATGGTATGGAATATCCCTTTGGCCAGTTTGGCTGTGCCCCCTCCCAGCTTCTTGTGCACCTCCAGCTTCTCAGTCGGTAGAGCATGGGAAGCTGAAAAGTCCTTGACTAGTGTAAGCACTGCTTAGCAACAACTAAAACATCGGTGTGTTATCAACATTATTCTCACCCTAAATCCAAAACACAGCACTGTACCAGCTACGAGGAAGAAAATTAACTCTATCCCTGCCAAAACCAGGACACTGCTGTTGGAAATTAAATTGTGCTTTCATGTATACTGATGGAACCAAGAATGCAGAAGCAGACACAGGTCTGGTTCTCAAAGCTCTTTTATCCAGCCAGCAGCCATACTGATGGGTTTCAACACAACTGAGGATTTGACCTGCATCCAAAGATGAATGCATTGTGAAAGCCAGGAGCAGACCTCACTAGTGACTACTAATAATTTGCTCTGATCAGTAGACCACACTTCCATCTCAGCTATGAAAAAGAGAGCATATATATGATTCTACATAGAGAAACATGATCATTAACATTGGACACTAATCAAGACTGAGAGGTCTCCACTTTAACTTGATCTAGTATAAAGATGTAAGATATAAGAGTTAAACAAATAAAGATTTTAAAGCAAGCTTCTCCCTTCACTTTCTGCCCTATTTCCTAATTCAAAGACTTTTGAAAACAAGTGTTAGACTAAAAGGTAGTTTGCCATAAATTACTTTGCAAACCAAAAAACTTCACAAAAGCTCAGGCCATATTTTAAGCTAATAATAAAGCCTGTGCCAGACAAATGTTATATTTTAGCTAAGAAAGAACTCCAGCGAACAACTATTCTAAATGCAAAGAGCCATTTATATTATCCTGCCCCTAGCTGAAATAACTTGAAAGTACAGCTGGAAGTGCTGTTGTCAAAATAGCAAATGCACTCTCAATTTGAGTAAAACACCCGCTTCATGGAACTTTTCCTGCCTTTCTGATTTCTAAGAATTATACTTTGGGCTAAGACAAAACTTGTTAAGTGAAATCCTAAACTTTACCAAGCTGAGAATCCACACACCTGTTTTCAGTTGCTCTCTCCCAACTCACATAGACACAATAGTGGATGAGTTAATTTTGGATGAGTTGTAAAGCAGCTAAATGTCAAACAAAATTGATCCAAATCCCAGAAAGCTAGTCCCCTCATGACTATATTTTCATAGACTCATGCCATGAAAAATATCCAAAACTTAACACATATGGGATAGACCGCTTTTTCAGAAGCAGAGGAAACAAGGGATTTTATATCCCAGATCAACCATCGTTTATTCCTTATAAGTGCCAGCCTCTTCTTGTATTTAATTTCTGTGACATCCTTAAAATTCTCTAATATCATTTTGTAATACTGATATCAGGTGGTTTTATCCAAGAGCTCCAGATTATGACCATGATAATGCTGCACATGATGATGCAGACGGTCTTTTGCTTTTCACAGAACACAGTGGGAAGAATAGCTGGAAGCAGCATTTTTTGCATGATTTCACATCTTTAGGTTTACATTTACTGTTACTATTGTGCCTGCATTACTGAGTACCAGAGAAATAACCATGTAGTAGAGATACAACAGGGAAAAACCTTTACATATTTCATTTAATTTAAACTTTCCTAATATCCATATTATTTATTTAATATGTACCTGTTGTATTATATTCAAACATTACATACTTTATATCAAAGACAAAGCAGAGGCCAAAAGCACTTGTTGCAAGCATGGCTGTTTCTCACTGCACTCACATTTTCCTATAGTTCTTGCGTACTGAGTTCTTGTGTACAGAGTTCTCATTAAAAACTCCGGCTACATTAACCCGCTTCAGCCATCTACAGTTTAAGCTAGTTGCGCAGATCCTCCACACACCCACAGAGGGTGACAGCTTATTTCAGAGGATGATTCCCTTCACTCATCTTAGACACTTCCTGAAGTGGTATAGGATGAAACATCATTTGGAGCGAACCATCATTCTCCACTGGCAGCGAAGGCAGCTCAGATGCATTACTTTTAGGAAGCCAGAGTTGAACAATTAATTCCAACCTCTACATTTTTGGTACCTGTTTCCAGAGTGGTAACCAGGTAGAATGTTTCCTGTAAGTCCCAAGAAGCTGCTGTATGATGACTCCAGAGATATTCTAGCGAGTAGATAGATTTCTCATATCTGCCTTCTTTTCCAGATATGGCAAAAACTAAATGATTTCAATGATCCTTGTTAAACTATTTCTGTCACTGTTTTTGTGCAAGTTTAGTATCTGTTGATCAAAGACTTCAGCTTGATCACTGACATCCAGAAACTGAGCCAGAGATCATCTGCTGGAAGCAGTTAATGAGTTAACAAGAAAAATAGTATCCTTCTCGTACACAGTGCCTTTCATCTACAGATCTCAAAGTCATTTAGATTTCTATCATTTTATAAATATAGAACTGGCATCAGAAAGAGGTTAAGCACAGTGAGACGCAGGCATAAAAGCAGAAGCTAGGTCTTGTGGGTTTTAGTCCCTTAGCTTTAAGACCAGCTTCCTTACTTCTGCAACAGTTTAACCACTCTAGCCCGCTGATAAGGTGCACATTTCCATTTCCCTGCTTAGATAATTAATCTGTAAATACGTTGAGTGAAATGGCATTTTTCACTTAAACAAAATTCATCCTTGATAAGCCACCACTGATTTTCTTTATGAATTTGAACCTTCAGTTTTGTCATGTCTCTCAGTTTAGAAGTACCTCACAACATGTGTTTTTTCCTATGTGGAATCACATAGCAATTAAAGTGAGGCGAAGGTTAAGTCTGCTCCTGCTTTGCTTTTTTGTTCGGGAAGTTGTAAAATGAAAACTGTTAAACTGAGAAGGGCTGTGACAATTTTCCCTTTATAACTGTAAGTTTCACTGCTTGGGTATGGCCATTGCTTATTGTAGGCTATATAGAAAATTACACGCAGTTGTTATCAGCTGTTATTCTGCTGGATTAGACAGTACAATTTCCATATTTGTGAATAAAAGAGGACGTGTAATTAATTTCTTTTTCCCACCAGTGGCAGAGAAGCTCACTCTGATAAATTAGCAGGTGGTCCTTATTTTGTGGAAAATGGCATGTCCAAAGGGAGTATTAGAAACAGTCAGAAGACACCCAGACCACCGGATTTTCTAGAACCTTTGACTTTGTCGCTGCAAAACAAGTACTATTTGCTAACTTGTTACAAAGAATGGCAAGGCAAGTTTACTAAAAATAACCTAGGACAGAAAAAAAGAGAAATATATGCCCTTATTTATCATTCCCATCTCTTTCACCCCCACAAATACATTCTAGTTACCCACAATCCTCGATTTTAGCAGACCAAAAAGGAAGAGCATTATTCTTCATCAGAAACTTTTGCATGTCTCCTCAATTCACTGTACAAGGCCCTTAGTGAGAATGGCAATTACCAGAGCTGCTTCCGGACTGCTTGTCCTTTCAGGGTTTCTACATTGAAATTGTTTGTCTTTGCTGGCATAATGAAGAACACAACAACTGTAACATCAGTCTTATGAACCTACATGGACACAAGATGGAGAGAAAAAAAAAATCTCACTACAAGGTATCACAGCCAACTTTAACAGTAAGAATTAGTCACAGGAAAAGCCAATGCACTTTGGTTGTCCAGGAAGGCTCTGATCTTGTACCTCTCCCTTTAGCCATGAAGTTTTTGTCAAGTCGGAGATATAGCTGAGGATAGATACAGGTAAACAGATGTCACCGATTCCAATTTGGGCAAGAGATCTTCCTGACTTCTCATGGTTTAGAGGCCATGGCTTAGGATGTGAACATAAACTGCCAAAAATAAAAATCTTATACACGTTTTTCTCACCTGACACAAACTTTGTTGGCTCAAAGGAGCGAGCAATTAGTTTACTAGCTGGGGTATGCCCAGGCATGGGGTGAAGGATTCCCTACAGCAGCAAGCAAAACTACCTTCTATAGCAATAGCGCCCCAGAGGTATGGGCAGAAAGAGGCATGATAGCAACCACTGTCTACCTGAACTGCTGGCAAAGAACCTGCCAGACATACAAAGAGCTGCAAGTAACTTCTTGCTCGTCTCTCACATCCAGCTACTGCAAAGGCAAGAAGCATTTGCTGTAAAATTTGACCCTTATAGATGGTTTCACTTGCTGGTTTCTCCTGTGCACTAACAAGATTCAGAATACCAGGTCCCTGAGGGATTCCTCACATGGAGCAGAATGAGGTTGTAGTCCTGTCAGTAACTATTTAAAGAAAAGCTAAGGGTGAACTCTGCTCAGAGCTGCAAAAATTAAATTATTTTGAATTGTCTCCTTTCTAAACTTTAGGCACACAAACATGCTATTAGCATGCCTTCTTTCAGATTGAGGTATAGGGAAATGTATAGTATAAAACAACCTATGGGAGTCATCTATCATTTTAAGGTTCTTACCCTCCCTCTCTTCAAGGCAGGTTCAAAGTCCATTATGCTATGATCTCAGTGTGTATTAACAATCTGTCCCAACATTCATATTTTATTTCCAAAATGTTAGTAATGTTTTCAAGTAGCAGAGGAAAAGGACTCTATAAAATAAAATAATTCCATCCTATGCTATGTATTTGTTAGGTTCAGGCACACCACTGGGACTTGTTTAAGAAGCACCATCTTTCCCAGATTCACAAGTAGGACAGGTATTCCATGTTCCCAATGGAATTACCGCTTGAAATAATTACGGAGCAAGTGTTCTTTGAACAGCTAATCAAGCGCTGGCATGCACGTTGGAACAGTAATGCAATAAAGCCAGCCTCAGCTTATGGGAGACGCAAGTCCCACTACATTGTTCTAGAGAGTTTTGGAAAACTAGCCAGTTTCCTTTGATTTTTCATCAGCCTAGCTTGTCATTGATGTCATATAAATCATTAGATACAATAAGAGATTGCTGCAATCATTGCTCAAGCATAAGACCTTCCACATTATCAGCACTTATAGTTAATAGCTATGTAAATGCCATTAACAGGTAGCTGGTGTGGCACAGCATTGCCAAACAACAGAAGTCAGTTGTTTGGCAAAGTTGTGGAAGAAATACTTAAGTTGTGAGTGAATGGATTAAGTATTTCCAGAAAGTCCACAAGCTCTAATGGTGTATTAATAGAAGGTGGCAATAGAACAAATGTACTTAGGGCTTTGAACATTAATAATTTTTCAGCCCTGCTGACAATATAGTATCAAGATTTTTATCCAGATTTTCCATATCATTTAAATGATAGAGTACAAAAGGGAGAGTCTGGGACAACAGTCAATTAATCCTTGCTAGATGACTGAAAACTGATTAGCATTATTTTTTTATTTTAAATGTATCAGTCTTTGGGACACATCTGGAGACATTTTCAATGACCTCATTTGTAGGTGGTAAGTGCTCTGCTCTTTGATCGTAACAAGGTCTAGGTCTTATCTTCATTAAAGTAGTCCATAAAGGCATTTAGAAACATTGCACTCATTTTTTACCTGAGGAAACAGAAGCATGAAGGAGTGAGCGGCTTCCCCATGCTTATTCATCAGGCCACTGCCATACTGTGAATTTTGAGGCAAAATTCCCATCCAATGTGATAATAGTACTCAAAGATTTAAAAGATCATGGTCAGGTCCTAATGAATTAAGCAATTTGCTTAAAAAGATATTTTTAAATTGCATCATTAAAGGATTATTTTTATTTGCCTTCTAATATGTAAACCTTCAGGGTAAATTCTTGAATCATATTTTCAGTATTTTTCTCTAAAAACAAGGGAGGTAACCATGGATTAACTTCTTGAACTATGTAATCAATTATTTTTAAGCAGCCTGAGATTGTTATATACTCTGATGATTCAGGGAGAGAGCTTTATGAAAACTCCGAATATCCCATAATTATTTTCCTATAAACCAGAGTATGGCATGGAAATTCTTGCAGGTGACTTCTATAGTACGGTAAGTTTGAGCACAAGCTCTATGTTATCTACATTTGCAGAAGCTTTCTTACCCTCAGCAAAAGGTTTAATCTTGATAAGGCTTCTAGAAACATATCAGCTCCTTTGTTGGAATACTCGTATCTCCCAGCAATGAAAAAAAATAAGGTCTTCTCAAGACTGAAGTCAAGGTGGCTGAAACCAAGCAAACAGACAAGCACAAAGTATTTCTCAAGATATAATCAAACAAAACACACAACAGCTTTCTATTCTGGAGGAATTTATTATCCCGAGAAAATAATGAAAGTGAGGCTTTTCTGCTGTTCTTTAAATTAACGTGACCCTCTTAATCTGATAAACTGCATCTTGGGTAAATAATGAAAAAATCAAGACCTTCTGCCTGATCCCACAATCTGTTAAGCAGAGCTAGAACTGGTGTCTAAAATTCCTTTAGCTTCTGACTGAGAAATCCTAGATAGGTATTTGAATAAATTGGTAACGTTTCACCTCCTCTATGAAGTACTTGTTAGTCTTCCTGCTTTGGTTCTTGCTCTAAATAGTGTTAGACAACCATTGCTAATTTTTGAAAAATAAAAGCATACCCATAGAAATGACCTCGAATGAACTCTTGGATCCTAGCCTTGTACATGGAATGCAAATTCTGAAACTCATGCGTTGCTGAAAATTTCTTAATGTTCAAGCCATTTGAGGTGACAACATCTGGAAAAGCAGAGAAAAGGCAGAGGTAGACATCTTCAGAGTCAGAGAAATCTTTAAGGAAAGAACCAACGTGTCTTTCAGTTGTCAGTATGTGAACATGTTACGTACTCTTATTACTCATGGATAGGGAACAGCACTGTCTAACACAATGGTCTCCACCAGCTTACTCCACAAAGCTATTGCATGTGGCACTCCACTGTCTATAGCATTGAAGTGGCTGTGTACCATTTTGACCTGTACTCAACATTAGCACTGACCCTGCTGAACAGTAAGGTCTCCCTCCCCATGCCCTTTTGTCCTGTCAAGACTTAAGTAATATCTGCATTTAGCCATATGTTTTTTGTGCAATGTGCCCTTTACCTCTTTATTCTTGATATCACCGTTGCCTGCTTTATCACTATAGATTGAAAGCTCTTGAAAACAGAAACTGTGCTGTACTATGCACTTGTTTACTGCATGACACAAGAGAGGTCTGTTCTGCCAAGACTTCTGAGGATTTACCAGAAAAGAGAGAATATAAGAAACCTTTTTAAAAAGACCACCTTTCGGTAATCTGTTGGATTTCTCCTAAAAATAGCCACAGAATAGTATGCTTTACTCTTTTATGGCTGCTCTCCTCAAAGATACCACAGCATCTTACAATTAAAATTTGTTCATTTCCAGTATCTTCTAAGACAGTTATAGGATATACATAGAGTTATAAGGTTAGACATCGCTTGTTCCAAACAACATTGAAATTCAGTCACTCTTCACCTTTCTGGTAGAGCACAGCAGCTATTTAAAGGCTTGCCCTAAATCTAGTTGAAGTAAATGGAAAGAATACCATTTTCTTTTCTTTGAGTTGGCTTATGAAAGCCATGTATGGAAATGAAAGGGGAGGCCAGTTCCTCAGCAGATGTATTTCATAGTAACACAACTGACTTCAGTAGACCTATACTAACTTATGATACCAGAGATTCTTCAAATACAAAGAATCCTCAAAGAAGCAAAAAGTGCTAATTATTAGAGGATGCACTGCTGCAGATTTCATACTTGCTCTCCTGGCAAGTGTCATCAGGTGTCTAGTAACCACAACCATTAACTGTAGCAATTTTAAAAGTTCTATGCATCATCCAAAGGACCTTCAGTAAGATATCATTCCCTACCACACATGGTTCATGCAAACAAAACAGCATCTCCTTTGATCGCAGTGCACATGGTTAACTCCCCCCCATACATCAGGGTTACTGATGGGAGTACAGTCTCTTGCTTGCCACCGATACAGGACTTGAACATTACTTCTATTGTGGTCTTTCAGTCAAGGATGCCTGACATTCAGGGTTTCCCATCCCTTCCCCTAAAAGCAGAGGTTTGCATGTCTAGCATTAAGCATCTGACCTAATACAAAATTGTCTCTTATTTCTGGAGAGACTTAAGGAGATGTTTTTAAAACATCCATGGCTCCTTTGGTTGATTACATATCAAGACGATCTTAAAATAAAGTACAATCAGTTCTCTTTATGCTGTCCAGTATACTTGCTTGACATTTTTCATGCAAATGCCACAGCCATTTTTAATGACTTCCTTGAAATTTACAGTCTGCTTTAGCAGTATATGTATTTACCTGCCAGGCAAGTGATCTCTGATTACTCTTCATCTTGTAAATTGTTTTGAGACTCTTTAGGTTAAACAGCAGTAGGTAAAAATGTAACCTTTAATAGTAACCATGCAAAATCTCAGTGGATCTGTCTTGAAATACCACATTTCAAACTGAAGACCAGCCTCTACCAGGAAATCTTTACTTGTTAGGTACTTGGGATTTAGTTCTCAATGACAAGAAAGGAGAGTCTTGGCGGGCCTGACAAGAAAACTTGTGTTCTTATCTTCTGCTGTCCAGCACTAGGAGCTGCTCTGAACAAAGACCTATGTGGCCTCATATGAGCGGGGGGTCAGCAGAGCAGAAACACCCTCCATTTCTCTTTGTCTTTACCAACAACGTATCTTCTCATTCCTCTGACCTGCTAAGAAGAGCATGGAAGAACTGGCTCATGCAGGACACAGCTTTGAGACTGCAACCTTTTCAAGCTCTTCCCAATAAATTAAGAATCCTTGACTGGGTATTTCTGGCAAATTTCCATCCACTCTCTCACATTTATTTATCAGGGAGTTTTGGACACACTCACTCATTATCAGCAGCCTGTATATAACCTACGCCCATGTTCTTTGATTCAACTGCAGCTTCATTTACCCTTTCATCAGGATCGGGGCTCAATCCATCTCTTATTTAAGCTTTTGAGATACAGGACAGACGTGGTGGCCCAAAGCATCCAGTTCACTATTTCTGCTCAACATACAATAATATTTTGAATATGTGTGAGGCAATGTACCCTTGCCCTAGGGAAGAAGTGATGAAAGACAGCTTTGTTCCCATTTTAAGTGGTTTGGGTTTTTTGTTGTTTAATGAATTAATGACATTTTTGTTTTAAAATTAGGTCAAATCAGAATGATTTGACTTCTGTATTTATAGGAAAGAAACTGGCATTGATTTAAGTAATAATAGCACACTATGATGTTTTCTGTTGATAAGTCACTAAGATTCAAGGTTGACTCACACTTTTTCAGAGTTTACTTCTATGATTTTGATCAAATATATACAGATACAAAGTCTAGATCTAGATCTTGCTTGGTAGAGTGCCATGGGACAAAGCCCTGGAGGGAAGAAAGCTGGCTAATATTCAAGGATCACCTCCTTCAAGCTCAGGAGCGATGCATCCCAACAAAGAGGAAGTCAGGCAAAAACACCAGGAGGCCTGCATAGATGAACAAGGAGCTCCTGGACAAACTCAAGCACAAAAAGGAAGCCTACAGAGGGTGGAAGCAAGGACAGGTAGCCTGGGAGGAATACAGAGGAATTGTCTGAGCAGGCAGGGATCAGGTTAGGAAAGCTAAAGCCCTGATAGAATTAAATCTGGCCAGGGACGTCAAGGGCAACAAGAAAAGGTTCTCTAGATACATCGGGGATAAAACGAAGA